CATCAGGACTTCCTTGGTGGGCAGCCCCACTTCAAGGAATAAGGTGTAAGACTACAATGATTAGATATGGAAAAAGTTCAGTGAGTCATAGTTTAGCCCACTGTTAAAAAAACTGAGTGGCCTATAAACCACACCCTTAATGATCCTAGACATAATCAAAATTTTTCTAAAAATGCCACAGAAGCCTCCCTACAGACACTAGTAAAACCCCTGTTAAGTAATAATAAGGGCCTATCATAAGAGCCAACAATCAGATATAAAGATGGCTATTTTCAGACATGGGATGATTATATGTGGTTAACTCTAACTATAGAAGGACTTTGTAGAGAGGCCTTCTTATTTTGGAAACAAGGAAATCACTGTTACTCTCATTGGCCTAACTCTACTAAATACTTGGAATGGTTACCCCTTGAATAGTGCCTACACACCATTACTTTATAAGTCAAAGACTACTTCGCAATAGATTGGTTTAATCCCCTGGAATTAGATGGGAAGTCCCTAATGGCACTCATTGGTCCTGGGGAACCAATCTGTGGCCCGGTACCTGCTGGAAGGACTGAGAAGCGCACATTGGGACTTGTGTGGTTACAAGGCAGGAATGTCAAAAGCTGTAATATACCTGCAACAAACCTGCAAATTTACCCCATCTATGACAATGATGGTCTCAAAGTGTCTCATTGGTACGATTATTTGGCTTCTTTCTTCATCCTTTCTCTAGGATTAGAAGATGTCTTGCAACACATTGAGGCCTTAACTAACTATACCCAATAAGCTTTAAATGACACCTTGACTGGTCTCCCTCTTCTAAATGAAGAAGTAAAATAAATGAGACAAGCTGTCCTCCAAAATCAGATGGTATTAGTCCTTCTAACAGCAGCTCAAGCAATTGTAAAAGCTAAATGTTGTGTGTACATTCCTGATATGTCTGCTAATATCTCAATGGCTGTTTAAAATAGTAAATGACAGGTTAAGGCCATGTCAAATTCTGAATTCCCCCAGACCTTCATCTTACCCTCTTTGTTGGAGGCTATTATTGGCTTTTCCTAGTGTAAACATCTGTTGGTTGTATTCATAATAGTCTTGATTTTATTCTTTTCCCCTTGCATAATTTAACTGTTTCTCTGGCCTTGACTCCTCCAGACTCAAAGCTATGTGCTTATCCAGGACGAGAACACCTGACATTTATTGAGGACCTTATCCTTTACCCCTTCAAGACGGTACTTCTTCAGAGGAGGGATTATTATAGACAGCTAAGCTGGGCAGAAATATTATAGAAAGTCAGACAGGGCTAGCCCTCAAAAGAGTCAGGACAAAGCTAAAAACACATTACAAGTATGGCCAGAGGCATATCTATTGGAGGTCAGGCCTCAAGATAAAGGTGAAATGACCAGACCCAAGATAAGTGGTAACTACTGGTCTAATGACATCTAGATAGGCATTAGTCACCTCAGGGTGTGACCAAGACCCTTGGACTCATCCTTTCCTGAAAAGTTATTTGTTCCTTCCGTGTACAATTGCTACATGACTTCCTCCCCCACTGGATCAATGTTACCTAAGCAATTATACTTACAATCTTATTGGTTGATCATAGCTGTAATCCACGTTGCATGTATGTGGTTGTGCTCTATAATACTTCTCCTAAAAAGTGAGGTCCTCCGCAACCCACTTTCAGTCCCCTCCTGCCTCTCTGGAGCTGTATCTTTCCCCCTTAATAAATATTTCCTACTTTTAATCTCCATTGTTCCTTAGAATTCATTCTTTGATTTTTGGGGAAATGAACTCGGTGTGTCTAACATCTAAGAGGTTAGGAGTTATATTTTCCCTATATCATTTCCTATATCAATGTGACCCATCTAAAAACTTTCCAGCAGGCCCTACAGAAATAGAAAGAAGATTCTTCCACTCCCAGAGACTAACAAGAATTGTCAACCCAAATTTATGCTCTGGAGAACAGGTCCTAACCAAGGCCTAAGAGGGCTGGGGATTTAGCTCAGTGGTTCTGGCGACTGCCTCATAAGCACAAGGACCTGAGTTCGATCCCTGGTACTGGAAAAAAAAAAAAACTAAAAACTAAAAAAACGGGTAGCTGGGCATGGTGGAGCACACCTGTAATCCCAGCACTCTGGGAGGCTGAGGCAGGAGGATCACTTTGAGTTCAAGCCCAGCCTGGGCTACATAGTGAGTTCCAGTCTCAACTATATAGTTGAAAGAAAGAAAGAAAGAAAGAAAGAAAGAAAGAAAGAAAGAAAGAAAGAAAGAAAGAAAGAAAAGGAAAGAGAGAGAAAGGTAGACCCCAAGATCAACTTTTATCCAAACAAAAACACCTTGTCATCACCCTACTAACCACTGCTTCTACCATTAAGATACCAAAAATAGATAGATTTACCTGTCCAGGAAAAAACAAACTACCCAAGATACTGAAAGACAAAAAAAGAACACAAACTTTATACCTGTAAACCAATACTCTTCAAGTTTCTTTAAAAAAAAAACCAAAAAACTATAAATGAAAGAAATAAAACAATTTATTTCTTCTAAACAAATTATATAAATATACTGATACACTTCAGGCTTTTGTTCCAAGTTATAGTCTAACAACATTTAGGTCTTTTCTGTTTCTTTTGATACCATTCTAAATTATTAAAAAAAAAACTACCTCTAATAGAAATAATAAACAATAACTACCTACATGAGACCATAAAACTAATCACATCTTTCTCCTATCATCAGTTGCCACCTTAAAACTTAACAGACAGCCTAGACAAACTTGTCTAGAATATTACTTTTTTTCAAGACTAGATAGACTCAATGACAGCAGTGGCCGTACAACACTGGAGGGGACTAGATCTCCTAACAGCCAAGACAAAGGGGCTATGTTTGTCCCTAACTAAACAATGGACTTCCTTTGTCAATAAGTCTAAAATAACAAGAGACATGACATAAAAACTGGCTAACCATGCTTCTAAGGTCCATTAAAACGTATTTAAATCTCCAGGCTTGGTGGCACACACCTGTAATCCCAGCACTCGGGAGGCTGAGGCAGGAGGATCACTGTGAGTTCGAGACCAGCCTGGGCTACATAGTGAGTTCCAGGTCAGTCTCAACTACATAGTATGACTCTGTCTCAAAACAAAAAACAAAAAACAAAAACTATTTAAATCATAGATATCCTGACCAAATATCTAAAACTGGGGGTCTTGGTTACTCTTCTAGACATGGCCCTCATTAATACTTCTCATACTATTACTATTTAGATCTTACATACTTAATCTCTTACTCAAATTTGTTTCTTATTGTTGGACAGCCATCAAACTGATACAGGGATGATGTAGATGAAATAAGACCTCCAAACAATATAAGGGAAATTCCCAACTTGTTAGTGTCTGATATGCTTGGTTCATGTACTTAAAATTGAAGAGTAAATCCTAGAAACAACACAGGTTAAGAGTAGGAAATATTTATTGAAGGGATAGCTCCTGAGAGCCAAGAGGGGTCCCAAATGGGGTGGCCACTTTATAGGGAAGTTTTACAGAGCAAAAACTGCATGGGTACAATGTAGGTTAAAGCTAAAATCAACCAAGAAGGTTACAAGTAGAGTCACTTAGGTAATAGTGATCCAATTGGGGAAGAAATCACATAGCAAGTGTGCATGGAAAGAACAAAGACTTTTTCTAGGAAATGATGGGTCCAGAAGGCATGGTCACCCACTGATGTCTAGCTGGACTTCATTAGCCCAGGTGTTACCCCTTATCTTGTCCTTTGGGGAAGTACGTAGGCCTGGTTGTTTCATCTTTATCATGAGGTCTGGTCTCCAATGGATGTGTCTATGGCCACAGTTGTGTTTTATTTGTCCTGACTCTCTCAAGGACCTAGCCCTGACTGTCTATGGTATCTCTACTTGACTTAGCTATGTATAATGTCACTCAAAACACAAAGCATTGGCCAGTGATTATGTTTTACTCAAAACTAAACATGTCTGGCATAAATAGTTTCATCGTTTACAAAGAAAATAACAAGTGCAAAATATCATGGAGAAATTTTCCTAGAGGATTGGGACTGGAACTGACAAAAGATCAACTACAAGAGAGGAAGAACAAATTGTTTCTGCCCAAGGAACTATACAAAAAAAATTCTGGAGCAGACTAGTGAATAGACAGGTTGAACAGACAGGTTGCAAGGTCACAAAGACCTACTAGGACAATAGGAAAACCAAAAAGATGTCAACTGTGCCCTACAAAAAAAGGACAGGAAAACAAAACATACATGCAGTCCGTGTAAGCAATACTTTTGTGTATGGAAGAAGCACTTCTGTGTGAAGACTGCCTTGGGTGTGACAATTGAAGCAAAGATTATTTTTGTGGTAGACTTTTTGTTTGTATTTTCATTGTAGTTCACATAAGAATTTATTTCTGCTGTTATTTTTTAGGTTTAGGTGAACAGTTTACATTTAAAATGTTGGGGCTGGGATTGAGCTCAACAGAGCCCCACATCCTTGGAAAACATAAGGCCCTGAGTTTGATCACTAGTACCCATAAAAAAATTAATAATAAAATGTTGATGTGTATTCTAAACATTCATTACATATTAAAATGTTAATATTTTATCAACATTTTATTTTCTTGTAAAGCACACATTGTTAAAATATAATAAAACAAACTTAAAATTAATAAATCATCAATAGGAATACTTCTAAAAAATAAACGTGGCCATTATACGTCCCCCATATTGAGCCTTTCAAAATACGATTTGCCATGAAAGGGCCAGGGATGTAGCTCATTGGCACTGCCTGGCAAGCTCAAAGTCCTGAGTTCAATCCCCTGTACAGAAAAAAAAAAAAAATTGCCATGAAAAATATCAAATGCTCCCTCTGCTGGACAACACCTCAGGCTTTGGCTAAACCCACAACCTGCTGTGTCAGACTTTTCCTCCCAGGTCGGGACCTAGCGAAGTGGGTGATGGCCCTTTAAAAGGCGGTAACTACGAGAGCTTCAGGTTGCCTTGGAGACAGATGGACTCATAGGGCCTGCACGTAGGGCCTGCGGCAGACAACATGTCCTTCAAGGCTCACTCCGAAGGTGGGAAGAAGCCTCTTGGGGTGGAAAGCGGGTGGGAGCTCTTCTTCCCTACAGTTCCTGGGGGTGTTCTTGATGGATTGACCCGTTGGGGCCAGGACCGGGGTAGCCTTCCCCGCTTAGCTTCTCTTCCCGCTGTAGGACCCATAACCAAGGACCACCTGCCTTCAAGCCAGGAGCGTCCCCCAAGGCCAAAGGCCAATGCTGAAGCTGTCCACTTCCTCAGCTCCCTGAGTGAGCCACAAGGTGGAAGGGGAGGGAGGGTCACAAGTCCCAAGAGGTTCGGAACTGAAGGCCCAGATGGGCCCATCTCCTCAGCCCCGGCTCCTAAGATTGAGAAAAGGATGAGGTTTATTGCTGCTATTCTTCCAGGGAAGACTACTGCACGGGAAAGAGGAGTCCTCACCCACTGCACCCGCGGATGCTGAGGAGGGGAGGCGGGCCACTGCGAAGGGCATGGGGGCTGGGCCCAGAGGAGGGGCTTATCTGTTCCTGCCCCACCCCAGGGCTGGAGGAGCTGCAAATGCTGTTCTTCTCTGAGACGCTGGTCATGGTCTCGGACACCGGGGACCCTCGGGGAGAGCTGACGATCGAGGTGCAGAGCGGGAAGTACAAGGACCAGCAGGGCCTCATATCCCACTGTCTCGTGGTGCATGCCGGGAGCCATGGCATCTTGGATAAAACCATCTGTGGAAACTCTGTCCTGGGTAGAATTCGGGCTTCCTCCTGCACGTCACTCTTTGTCTCCTCTATTCCCAGGGTCTCTGTTCCCAGGACCCCGCCCTTTGACTTGTCTGGTACAGGATGAGGGAGCAGGGGGCGGGGGTAGGACAGGAAGGTCATTCAAAGCCACAGATCCAGTGATGCCATCGTTTGCCTGTCACACCCTAGGCTACCTCTCGTGGAAACTGGAGCCCTTAGAACAACACAGTCATGAGTTCATCAAGGTACCTCCTTGGGGTCCCCAAGCCTTGCTCCTGAGCCAGGGTGAGAGATCGGCGATCCTGTGAGCACCGGAGAGAGAGGGGCTCCAGTGTCTTCCATCACCCTGCCACACCACCACTCACGACTTGAGAACCCATCCATCCAGGACACTGAGCTGAGCAGCAGTTTCCACTGTAGATGGTCTCCCAGTGCACAAGCTGAGCCCAGTACTCCCCTAGCCCCAGCCCGAGAGCCTGGCCTCTCCCTGAGGGCCCTGTTGCTGGCCTTTTGCAGAACCTTGCTGCTTCTTCAGAGTCTGTCACTATTCCCTTCACATCCCTTGCCTCCAGCCTCAACCTCTTCACTAATTTCTGGAATAAGACCTTGATCTGTCTATGCACTGGAAACTGCTTGTGCCTAAGAACCTTCCCAGAGTCTATGCTCACCTTTTTTTAAAAATCTCATTATGCTCATCTTTTGAACTTGTGTCCTGAATGACACTAAATTTTAGCTTCAAACTATACCATCATATGGCCACACTTTGTGGTATGTGGAAGGCTTTCTTGATTGGTTGCTGTCATTTTTTTTTTTTTTTTTTTGAGACAGAGTCTCACTATGTAGTTGAGACTGACCTGGAACTCCCTCCCTATGTAGCCCAGGCTGGTCTCGAACTCACAGAGATCCTCCTGCCTCAGTTTACTGAGTGCTGGGACTATAGGTATGCACCACCACCCCTGCCTTAGTTGCTGTCTTTTAAATCACCACCTTCAAAGCTCAGGACTGAGGAGGTGGCTCAGTCGTACAGTATTTGCCTGGCATGCCCAAGGTCTTGAGTTCAATCCCCAGCACTGTAAAAACAAAGACTTTAAACCTCAGTGTTATCCTCTAGGGAGTCCATGATTCTCCCCTGCATGCTCTGGCCCTTAGTTTCCCATCCTCCCCATGGAGCGGAAGACGAGTTTGCTGAAGAAAGACGACCAGTTGGCCATGACCAGAAGTGTCAGGGAGGGTGAGGTAAGGGCAATGGCCAAGTAGAAACTGCTGTCACATCCTCCTCCAAACTACAGGCCGGGACCGGGTTGGGGAGGCTGAGGCCAGCAGCTTGGACCAAAGACTCCCTAAAGCACCACATGCCCCTCACCCAGCTTGCCCACCCTCTCGCTTCCAGCTTGAAGTCCCTCACATAGGTCTTTCCTGAACAGGAAGTGAAGACCAGTGAGACATCTTTTCCCTGGGACTCAAATGAGGGCTTCATCTCTGAGGCTGCCAACCTAGTGCTACTGCGGGTGATGGCCTGGCGGCAGACGGTGCCTAGCAATGCCCGCTTCCTGGCCCTGGACACCGAGGGCAAACTCTGCTGTTCCACCTATGTATGAGGTCTACCCAGGCAGGGGGCTTGGCCTGGGTGCAAACTAGAGGGGAAATGATGGGTGCTGAGTTGGGCAAGTAGACAGCTGTGGAGTAGCAGGGAAACCAGGGTGGGAGTGGGATTGAGACATCCAGGGCTGGAGAAACCAAGAAAATCTGTCAGATCAAAAGTGGGACAGTTGAGTGAAGCAACCCTTTTTGCACAAGTTAGTCCATGAAAAAATAAACATAGTGAAGGGCCACTTTGAAAGAGACACCACACAGGCTTCACGCGGGCTGCTGTTCCACCACTTAGTTATATCCTCAGCCCCTTTTATTTTTATTTACTACTATTTTTCAAGATAGGCTCTTACTATGTAGCCCAGGCTTGCCTGGAATTCCCTGCAATCTTCCTGCCTCAACCTCCCAAATGCTGGGATTGCAGGCACTCACCACCATGCCTGGCTCGACTTGTCTTTCTTTGACTGACCTTTAAATTACATTCTAGTCTTGTCCATCACAAACACAACCAACAGCAATGTGCTTGACACAAACCAGCACGTCACTCCCCCATTTCCTTGAAGAACATCTGTTCAGTTAGGTCTTTTTGTTCCAGAAACTCCATTTAATTGTGACAGCAATGACACAAATCCAAGGCCACCACAAACCTCAGTCCAGTATCACCTTTCAAAGCCTCACTACCTTCCCCAAACGGCGCCAATGACCTGTCCCCCCAGGATCCCTCCTCATACTGACCCTCATTCCTATATGAGAATCTACAAGCACCTGGTCACTGAGATGCCATGAAGAGGGAGGTGGGCAGGACAAGCTGGAGCTGGCTGGTGGTGAGGGGTCCCCAACCTAGCTCGAGGGTGCGACTCAAAATGTGTGGCGCCTGCAGGTCTGGATGGCCAAGGGCTGCTTATCACTGGTAAATAAGGAATGAAGACCAAGGAGGAGGAGAAAGAGGAAGAGAAACATGAAGAGGAGGGGATGGAAGAGGAAGGAGAAAAAGGGGGAGGGGGAGGGGGGAAGGGGAAGGATCTGGGCTGAAATGGGGGAAGACTTTGGTGGTCCCCACCTCAGCATGCTCCTTCTGTTTTGTGGCTGCAGCGAGCACTGGGCTTCCAGGCCATCCAGGTGGGCCACCAGCAGGCCCAAGTATTCATCGTGGAGCAGACCGTGCACTCGGAGGAGGGCATTCCCATGTCCTGCCAGTTCTACCTGCTTTCTGATGGGTGAGCCATTGTATGGGGGTGGCAAGTGCCCAGGACCATTGTCAGTCAGCTTTCCATTGCTATGACAGAATACTTGAGAACATCAATTTAAAGGAGCAAAGTGTTATCTCGGCTCATGGTTTCAGAGGTTTTGTGGTCAGTGGGCTCCATTGCTTTTAGGCCATGGTGAAGAAGAAATATCATGGTGAAAGGGCAGAGGAAAGGTGCTCACCCCATGGCAGCTGGGAAGCAGAGAAGAAAAGAGCCAGAAAAGAAGGGATGAGCGACTAGATATACCTTAAACGGCCCGTCCCCTTGACCCACTTCCTGCAGCTAGACCTCACCTCCTAACAGCCCCTTCATCTCTGAACTCATCAATGGGTTAGTGCATTCATGAAGTTAGATCAGCATCCTCAGGATCAGGGCCTCAATACCTGAATCTTCAGGGAACCAAGATATTTACATTTAAACCATAGCAGGGACCAAGGGGACAGTGTGATATCCAGATACAGGAGCCTAGTGATGGGGCAGGGGCATGGCACAAAAGGGAGCCTGGCTGATCCTGGGGACACCACCAGAAAGAGTTGCCATTGAGACCTAGGTGTTCCCTACTTTACCCACATCATTTACCCCTCCTTCATTCACTGGTTCCTAGAGAGCCTTCCACACCTTCTCACCAGACAACCCTGCCAGGCTGAGGAAGTACCTGGCAACCCCACAAGGCCTGGGCACAGCAGAAGTGTCACCCGGGTTAGGGAAGTACTGAAAACACCAAGGTTCCAATGACCGGGACACCTGAGCGAGCCGATGTGCTGGAGCACTGTCCTGGCACCCTGCCATCTGTCACCAGCACTGCACTGGCACTAAACGAGGAGAAAATGCCAGTGAGGAAGAAGAATTTGGTTTTTCTGAAATTTCAGAAGAGGTATCAACTGAGACACTGCCCTGGAAGATGAAGGAGCAAGAATGTTGGGGTTTTTTGTTGTTGTTCATGACTTAGCAGACTTCTACTGGTTTAAGTGTTACATACATAGCAGAAGGCCCTGTGATTTTTTTTTTTTGTCCTTACATCTCTGACGGTCTCAGCCCTTTTTTTTTTTTAATTTATTCATTTATTTTTTAAAGCAGGGGCCTGATGCTTGCCAAGCCCTGTGTCATTATCTGGAATATGACCCCGGAACTCAAAAGGCAAGAGCAGTAGGCAGAAGTAAACAGAGGCCTCTAGGAGAGCCCTTCAGGGGGCGCTGTGGTGTTTTAGCTGCCCCAAACCCCACAGGCGCTGTAAAGCAGCGGTTTGCTTCTTCAGAGTTGTAAGGGCTGGAAGCCCGAGATCAAAGCATCAGCAGGGTTGGTTTCTGCGTGGCCTCTCTTCCTGGACAGCAACCTCCTGCCTGTGTCCTCAGGTGGCCTTGGTTGGAGCTCTGAGCATCTCTTCTCCTTCTTCTCCTTCCTCCTCCTTCTGCTGCCAACCCCACCTAATTTGGACCCCACTTTTGAGTCCTCAGTTAACCTCCACAGCGGGGCTTAGAGCTTGGCACCGTCCCTAACCCGCAGCAGAGGAGGGCTCACTCTCCCCTCTTCCCGGTTTTCTCTAGGCACCTGGCGAAGAGAGTTCAGGTGGGCTCCCCGGGGTGCTGCGTTGTCACCAAGATGCCCATCTTGAGGGAGGAGGGTGAGTGCAGCCCAGGCCTGAGTTAGCTGCTGGGAGGTGAATGGGTGTGGAGTCCCGGGCCCTGGGTTTAGGCAGCGCCGAGTGTGCTGTGGATGCCCAGGACCTGGGAGGAAACAAAGGGCTGCCCTCCAGCCCTGACCCGGAGGTAGACGGGGTGGACTCTTGCTAGGAGTCCCTTCCAGCAACTCTGCCCAAGTGAGCAGAATCCTGAGGTTTGGCTTGAGTCTGTACCTTCTGCTTGGGCGTTGTGGGGCCTCTGAATGGAGGAAGGTTCTGAGGTGCAGGGGTAAGCAGTCTCCCTCCTTCGGCACGCAGATGAGATTGAGCCTCCGCCCGTGTTCCACAAGAAGCCCCTGGTGTGGGAGGAGGACATGGAGCTCTATTCCAAGTTCCTGGACCGGAAGGTGTGTGTGGGGTGCTGAGGCCAGCCTGGGGTCCCCATTTCCTCCCTAATCATCTCTGTGCCTGACTGCAATGCATATCCGGAGGAGGGGGTGCTGGGAGCGACGGTGGGGCTCCGGGGCTGGCTCGGGACCTCCCGGTGCCTCCCAGGAGCAGCTCCGGCTCCGCCACGCCAGCTACCTAGGGCAGCACCCCGACGCCCAGGCGCTCGTCTCCGACTTCCTGCTCTTCCTGCTCGTGCGCCAGCCCCAGGACGCAGTCACCTTCGCCGCAGAGTTCTTCGGCTGCTTCTCCGCCAACTTCTCGCCTTCCCCGAGCTTGCACTCCTCCCACCCCCTCAGCCCTTTCCGCCCGCTGGACCCCGAGGACCTCGAGGACCGCGCCGACTCCGGGGCGGGCTAGGCGGCCCAGGCACCTGCAGAAAGGGGGCGCCCA